TTGAGTATATGCAGATAGTTAAAAGGGTGGGAGTTGTGAAGTGGAGAGATTCACTGTCACAGACAATCGAAAATTCGCCAGTAACTTTGAGTTAAATGTGAATCAGATTCTCTCCCGGCAGTTTAGTGGCAAGATTGCCGAATGATTGAAGGAATGTATTAGGCTTTTGAATGGTGTTACTGGCTAGTCAAATGTGTTCCTTTTGGTTGATGTTGGGCTCAAATAACTATGAGCAAGTTTGAACGAAAAAGAGCGTTCTGGTCAGCCCGGAGATGATCCGGTTGAAACAACGGTAAGAAATGAGACGTGCTATTCGTTCGAAGCCCTCAACGGGATGGGTATGCACTAGTGATGATGAACTCTGATGTAAGTCAAATTCAGCTCTGATGGTTCTTGAGTATATGATTGGATAGTTTAACTGATAATGGTTCGTGATGAGAGATTTCGAAGGATGTGCAGTTCCAATCGATAATTTTATCCCACACCACAGCTCACAATTAACCGCGAGTTAGATTGTGGATTTTTGGAGACGTTTTGGGAATTTGATACACCTCGAATAGATCATAACTAAAGGCAATTTAATACCACCGTATATCGTGTCAAATACCGCATACAGCATCAGTTCTGACAGTCACAAAAATTTCGTCACAGTTTCAGGGTTATTGGAATTTAAATTTTTGTGGTTTCCTTTCACATATACAGGTTTAATGAAGCAACTGTTTTTACTATTGACTAAATGAGAGTAGTATAAAAAACAAAATCAAAAATGTTGCTTCTCAATAGGAGAACCAGTAAAATTGACGCGCCACGGTTGTTTAATGCAGCCTATCAAACCAGCCAAAAGTATAAGCATCAGCGCAAGTAAGTTCTGCAAGCTGATACAACCAAAGACTTGAACTTCTTTTTTCATTTATAGTATATCTGGATCAGAACGAGAGATTCTGGACCTGGGTTTCTTCCTGAATTTGCTTGGAGAAATGAAGTATTCAACACTGACACCTACAGAGAACCTGAAGTTTAATCGTACGAACACTGGCAAAATTATAAAGTTATAAAAACATATTAAGCATCAGATAAAATTAAAATCAGAATAAAGTCAAAAAAGTTTCTCCCACAGTTGAATAAAAATTATAAGAAATGGAAAAATCTACACCATATTGGTTCTCGCTAAAACCATTATTCCACCATTATTCATACTTGATAAAACTTGGATTGGTAAGAAGATGTACCATCCTACTCGGTTACAAAATACCATGTTTCATGTTTTCTATAAATACATTCATTCAGGTTTGTCCCGTATTTTGGCAGAAAGCTTTCGGGGATTGTGACTCAAACTAGAGGTAGTTCAAAACCAGACATTAATCAGAATAGAGCACAGGGACAGCTGTTTCCTATGTTGTTTGGGACTCGTCAGCAGTGCGTACCTTTTGTGTCCCTCTCAGGACTCGAACTGCAATTCTTCGGGCTGGGACTTCAAACCCCTAACCCTGAGCTACACGGTCAACGGTCATCACCATGTGCGAATGGCTAAATCAATTTAGAATATCAAGCTCCCATCAAGCGGGCCTGGTGCCTATGAACAATCGACTGGGCTAATCCAAGCTTGATACTCTAGTACAGAGGAATGATTCATTCCTAATGTGGGTTCACAATATATGATAGAAGACCAGATTAACTAGCAAATGTTCATACGAATATGTGTGAAAACGTTCACCATAAAAGTCTGTCCGAAGCCCTGGTCTACATTATGAACACATTTCTTTTTTACACTAATCGCTCATCGAGTGAATCCGAACCCTGGAAAACCCCGTGTTCTCCGCGAATGTAGGCTGTCAGTTCTGCAATAGTATGGCACGCATTAGAATCCTGTTATCTTCCTGCCAATCAGAATGAGGTTCAATTACATCTGTCACTGAGGCATGACCTTAGTTAATCATCAACTACCTTCCAAACTCTTCTTGCCAATAGTGTTTTATTTTAATCTCGTGTTGTAACTGCTCACTGAATGGAACGCTTATTGATACAGCTATTTTGAGCTGGTAAAACTGTTGGAACTACTCTTCGACGTACGTGGACGTTCATAGATTAAGTCATGAGGGTCGAATTAGCTTTCTCTGGTAATCAATGCTGTCTTCCCTACGAGGCTTACTCGTCTTCGTTGGCAATTTTCTCGACCGTGTTCGGTGTAGAGCCCTTCACCTTCTAGCGTATTCGACCCACTCTGCAACCACTTCTACACAGAGCCGTGTGGTTGTATCTTTCTAACTTATGCACTCTCATTAGCTAGATTTTTTGTGGAGCTTGTCGATTGGGTTTATACCACATTTTCAATAAAAGCATTGATTCATATCTATTAGTTAACTCTTTAAACCTCTCGAGTCCTCTTCTATGAAATAAAAACACTGAAACATTCCAGCACCAACAAGAGGGAACACTCTTCCTTACTCCGGTTTTCCTCTCTTTAATAAATGTTCTGTATTCAAGAACTCAGGTAAAGCTGTGTTTTGGATTAATGTTCCCCAATATCAACCGTGTACTAGTTTTACTGATCATAGGATCCACCACTTAACTGGCCCACGAATGGGCAAGTTCTGGGAACCTCAACTCCATTCCGCTCGAGACGTTTTGCTCAGCCGCTCCTCTTCAAGCTAGTTAATGGCACATTGAGAGCATTTAAGACTCCAGAGCATATTTATGTACGTATTTTATTCCAAGAGTTTCAGAGCTGAATTTCTGGAAAGATTGTTACATAAGATTGAGCAGTTACCGATGACGACAAAGTTAGGATTATCACCTGGAACTCGCTCTGACACACAGTACGACTACTCTGACGTTTTACATCGTTTTTTTTTTCAACCTCACCTCAAACAATCAAATTATCTCTGACCCTCTCACCTTACTGTTTGGATCATTTTTCGCGTTTTGCGCAACTTGTAATTCCTCACCCGGACACGAGACTGTCTACTCAACGGTTTGTAATGTTTCTGATGCCATCGTTGTCATCTGTAATCCAGCCGTGTGATGCTGGCTGATACTCCTGCCGTGCACAGTCGAAGGTCACCGGATCTATTCTAAAGGCTTGAGGCTGTTGCAGCTGAACCATCCGACCGATCGATCATTGAACCCGATCGATCTTGTGATTGTCAGACATGCGCAGGAGGATAGGTTATGAATTCTATGCTCCATAAGCGTTGGAAGAGATTCCAGTTATAGAGCGATTCACCATGCGAGCAATTCGGAAGTGTGCAACCCAACTCAGTAGAACACTACCTGATTTCATGCTCGTCAATGTGTGACTAAGACACCAAATTGTCAACGCCAGTTCGTCAGATTTCCACATCCCCGTGTACAGACGTGAGAAATTAGACCGATAATAATCAAGACGAGTTCGCAATCGAATGAATACGCCGACTAAACATTAATTGCCAGACTCAGAGAAAGGAGATTTGAGATCAAATAACGGTACGAAGTGTATTGGTAACAGCTCACTCTCATCAGGACACAAGTAACTAGTTCACCTTGCTGTTGATTTTTTAAGCCATGATCCACCCACAGTTTTATCGATCAACCAAATGGTTTTCGTCTGTCGTTTGAAACAGTGCAACTGAATTCTAAGCAATCCGATCTATGTACTTCTATACGATGGATAATCCTATTAGAGCTGTTTCTTATACACCGCAATCCCTAAACGATCAATATCAGACTTAGGAAAACATTTCACTCTTTAAGTACCAACCTGGTTCCTGAACACTTCAGACAAAAACCTTTACCAGCTGCGTTCTATTTGATTTGTACAAATGAGGTTTTGTGCCAAAACATCGAGAATCAACTCGATTTGGGTTTTCTCTCTCTCTCTAGAAAAACGTTTTTATTTTCCTGCTTTCCTGTAATTGGCTACGTCTTCAGCACGTTCAACTCAATGAACAATCAATAAATAACCGGGATCGATTTCATAGTCTTTTGTCGCTNTTTTATCCTAAACACATGAATTCTCTTTTCGAGTTCCTCCGAATGCAACAAGTTTGATATTTACCCCGGTTTATTTTTACCTTTTCACGACCAGCTCCATTTTATCATGCATGTTTTACTTCTTGGGCCTCTAGTCGGAGAAACCGTAAATCATGAAACCAAGAACTGGGAATTTCCGCTCCGTCAGTAAATCAGACAAATTCTACCCCGTTTGTTAACACCTGTGTGTTCCGCGTCTCTTGTGTATGCTGTTCTTGTCTTGGAACAGGTCAGATCAAATAGACAGTGAATTATTATAAGAACGAATAAATAAACGGTGGAATGAAGGTTTTCTTTTAATTCAGTGCTTCGAGTGAATCGCTTTCAACTGTTTACTTTTTGTGGTCCTCATGAGGTTGATACTGTCACACACACACACACGCAAACAAACGCTGATGATATGTGCGAAACGAAAATGGAAGCATTATTCTAGCACGTTTATTTATCAATGCCGCATCAATGTCCATCGTTTTGTGTGTTTTGCATAGATTTATTCGCTATTTTGACATATTTTACATTTGCTGGTAGAGGAGAATGTTTTATTTGTCTGAATTGTGATAAACTCCATTAGAAACGATATATCTAGCCCCCGATTCTGTAAGCCAATCCGTTGTAGTTAAGCATTTGCGCAATTCTTTCCGCACTGCTTGAAAAGGTAAAAGGTGATAGCTCTATGTTGTTTTTTGCCCTCAAAGGGGTAGCCAAAATAGTTTGCTAACAAATATGTGTAAATCGATAAAGTTCTAAATACTGTGATATGATACATTTATGTGCAAATACTCATCAGATATCCTATTTTATTTTTAGGGTAAATCATTCCGAATTCCCCGGAATAGATGATCGTATGTTGGAGCTGTCAGAGCGCTCGATTCCCAATTCTTCTACCGATAAACCACCACCACCACCGCCACCACCACCACCACCACCATCACAACTACAAATCCGACCATAACCACGGGCATCACTAACAATACCACCACAACCACCACTACTACATGTGTGGCTAAACGATCTGCAGAATACTGAGACCAAACGAGTGAAGAACGAGAAACCGGGGGGAGGACAGGGTGTGTGGCTACGAAGTCCAACAGGGATTTTAAACTTAGTGCACCAGTAGAATGAGGAGCGAAATTCATCTATTCTTGATTGACAAAAGCTGAGAGAGAAATTGTTAACCACTAAAACGGAAAGTACCAGTTCTGCCTGATGTTGTCATCGTACGTTTCCGTTGATGGATTCTGTGAGGTCCTTTAAAAATCGGTTGATCTATTTTTCGAGATATTTCACCGAAACAGTTATTTTGTCCCTTTGTTTTTTTCCAGTCAGTGGGATGGGCGTGGCCCCAGAACGAACTTACAAGACACTATAGTCGAGGGACCAAATAAAGAGACAAAACCTGGGTGGACAAGTTGTCTAAGTATTGTAGTCGAAAGGAGTTCGTGTGCACGCCTAGCAACGGTTTTGAAATTATCGGAAGCGGATAACAAGAAAAGACAGTAAGGGCGTGCGCGTGTGCATGCGCGTGACCGAGAGAGAGATGAAGTTTTACATAAATTCCATTTGGAAAAAGTAAATACATCTTATTTGTGATTGTTCGTTTGAACTAACTTACCGGCATATAAATAAGTGTCATACACGGACACACACACAGACAGACACTAACAAAGAGTGTTTATCATTGTGAAATTCAGAAGTATTTTTCTTCACATATCAAATTTGTTTCCGTTACATTGTCTCACAGTTGTTGTTACATTTGTTGTTGTTTTTATATAAGTCGATCGGTTGCCCTCAAATGAGAAAGAAAACTTTCAGACCGCCCGCAAACATAGAGAGAGAATGAGTGAATTTCTGTTCTGCTTGACGAGCATTGTTTGTCGCTTAGCAGCAACAACAGCAGCAGACTGTCGAGCTTTGAAGTACACCGGAAATAAGATTCACTGCTAGAACTGTGGCGCTATTTGATCGGAAACGTTTTCGGACACATGGATCGAAGATTCACATTGGTAAATTAGTGAGCAATACCGCACCCTCTTTTCAATTCCTCCAATTCTGTCATTGAAAGCCAAATTATGTCAATTTATCCAAAGGATTTGCTCACACACCCTCAATGTACCTCGAAACGCGTGCGTGTCCGGGTGTGCTGACATGTAGATTTTTGATATTCATGAACATCATGGTTAGTGATTGAATGGCCGTAGAAAAAAAACTGATAGAGTTGGTCGTCAAAGGTAGTGTCAATTTCTGTGCCTCGCAAGATACCGCAAAATGATGTACATATCCCAGTCGATCACTATTGTTGGGACGAAGATCAGTGCTATTCGTCCCAAAATAAGCCTGGTTGCATATTTGCTAATTCTGTGAAAACAATCGAACAAATGTGTCCCTAGTTAGGGTCATCTCTGATCAATACTAATCTCGCGGAGATAAATCAAAAATATCGCGTCGTATCACAATATTCACTCTGTCTGTCCGTCTGATCCGTGACCTATGACCGGTTGAACTTTGCTCACTGTGTAATTAATTGGTACAATCTATTTCTTGCACTGAGTCACACATGAGCATCAGAGTAAAACTTGTAAATTGACTTGTGGCTTGTGTTCAACGCCATTAAAATCCCGTGCTGCTGAAGCCGTGTCTTCTCGCTCGTGATTTGAGAGGCCGGAGAGGTCGATAACCGATCGTGCGTCCTGTGTTTCACCTAGGTAGCTTCCGTTCCTGGAAGTATCATCCCTTGACGGACTTAGTGCTAGTTCGCTGCTCCCGTGTGCTACTATTGTTACTGTACTATATCTTGTGTTCTTTGCACTTGTGGTGATCACCTTTGATGTAGTGCTGTGCAATCTGACAGTAGACAACCGATATAAACGGCGTAAAACATAACAACTATCTTTTTATAATTTATCAAAGGGAAATGACTATTTCTCCCACGGCTTTGACAAATCAAGTTCACCTACCTATTTGTTTCATAAAGTTGTTCCATTTACACGGTGTTATTTATGTTCGGATCCTCGTTGCACATTATGACGCTAGTGAGTGAGTCGCAATAATTGAATCCCAAAGAGTTCTGAACAAAAATTTGAATCGAACCCCTCAGATGAATGATGCACGTTTTTCGATATTGCTTAACGGAGCACATCTTCTCCTTCCTCGTAGCGAATTGATCTGACCGCCGCACGACGACCATGTGTTCATTGATCTCATCGAATTTCGCTTCGCATATGTCAAATTCAGATCGCCGATCTGACACTCATTGTCGTATTTTCTCTGCAAAGTCGAGAACGCTAAATTCAGCCGCCCGAACGATCCTAGAGATGAATACATTTCTCACTCTTTTGTTTTCACCCAAACGAACATTCCACCTCAGTTGTACTCGGCGTTTCAGTGCAGAACAACTGGCTCGCTTCATGATCAGCTGAATCCCATTTGGGAAGTGGGGAACACAAATGCAGCAAATGGATAATAATCACCGAAAAATTGCGCAACGCTCCCGCTCATCGAAACAGATTGACTGCTTCAAAGATTATATCCGAATTTCCCAAGACACACTCTGCAAGTTATGATGAAATATGTGACATGGACAATGTTGACAATGTGCACTTTGTCACTCTCCCACCGCACCACACACCCTAAAACCATAATTCACGGAAGATTCCCATAGGAATATCAAAAGACCAACAATAAACAGAACCAGCTTGTTTTCGTAACCTCGTCTAATGTAGAAATAAATGTGATTGGTCCATTGAGGTTAAGTGTGAAAATAGAGCAATATCTGTCCGGATTTAATCAGAGTCAGTGGAGAAAATGGGGGCAGTGGGCGAAGAGGGGGGTGGGGGAAGGTCAATTCTGGAAATTTCCCATGACATTTTCCACGTACAACTTATCACGCTATGTTACGTCATTACCACATAACTGAGGTCATGGTTCGGATCGTCAAGTAGGTTTGGTTGGGGCTAAGACAACTGGAGTGCGTCAACCATTTTCTTCTGTTTGCACGATGGTGGGTTCATGCTTCTGAATTCAAAGTTTCGTCTCAATCAAATTTAAACAAAACTTAGCCGAATATCTCGCCTTTAGAAATCCAATGATTTGCTAAAGAATCTACTGGAGGAAAAACTTAGATTCATCAAATCTACACTCCTGAATAATAGATACCCGGAACGTTCCATCGAGAAGAATTTCGTAGAAAGGCCGACTCTCCCAAAACCAAGCATAGCCAAAAAGACAGAAACATTTTTGCAGCTCCCGTTTAAATGCAATACGAGTGGTGATCTACTAAGAACATGTCTGGAAGAAGCAATTGCACGAACATATCCAACCACCACTCTATATCTGATGTTTACAAGCCGGCCTCAGCTCTGCACAAACCTCAAGGATATACTGTCCATCCGCTCCTCATCTACGATTACATATTCCTTCACTTGCACCTGTTCGGAAAGTTATGCAGGACGAACGATGAAACAGTTCTCACAAAGGATTAGAGAACATAAAGCGGCTTGGGTTAGCACGGGTCGCAAGCAAGCAGTAACCAGTGCGATTATGGCCTACATCGCCGATAGCGGGCACCAGGCAGACAACGATGCACTCAAAGTCGTTTACAAAGTACTCCCAACAAACAAGTCGAAGTACCTTCGGAAACGTCACTTGGCAACGGCATAAGCTATAGCAATCAAAATCATGAACCCACCATCGTGCAAACAGAAGAAAATGGTTGACGCACTCCAGTTGTCTTAGCCCCAACCAAACCTACTTGACGATCCGAACCATGACCTCAGTTATGTGGTAATGACGTAACATAGCGTGATAAGTTGTACGTGGAAAATGTCATGGGAAATTTCCAGAATTGACCTTCCCCCACCCCCCTCTTCGCCCACTGCCCCCATTTTCTCCACTGACTCTGATTAAATCCGGACAGATATTGCTCTATTTTCACACTTAACCTCAATGGACCAATCACATCTATTTCTGCATTAGATATAAACACACACAACTGTAAATTCCGGAAGATGAAGTTACGAAAACCATGATGATTTCGCCCGGGCAAGCGAAACTTACGTTCCATATCAAACTGTGAACACTTTAAAAGATCACTGTCGTCGAGGTTTTAGCAAACGAATGAAGTGTACAAATGTACTAAAACTGTATGGATTTCCAAATATTGTTTTTGATCGATTGCATTTCAAACCTTAATATCGTCACCATCATCTAATGCGCTCAGTCTCACAGTCTTTAAAGCTGGAATTCCGTCTGGATGAAAATATAAACCAACGAGTTTGTCTTTCAACTCCATGTTATGACTCGGCTGGAAACATTCACAACCTGACTACTTATTCCAAGTGAGGCTAGTGCTGAGAGGCCTGTAACGGGCTCTCAAAGATGGGTTCCGCTATATCGTGTAAATGGAAAATTAAAAACGTTCTGATCAGCTGCTGCGATAAAGTGTTCGAGTGGGCAGCATGCGTTCTGCGTTCTATCTGTGAGGTCCCGGGTTCGCGATCCCCAGTAGGGTCGATGGACTCACGGACTGCTCGGATGAGATGAACCAGGTCGAAACAGTTGTCCAGTATTGCTTTTCAGTTCACGCATCATTTGCTTAATACAAGACGAATTCAACTTTGAAAGTGACCCTCAGTATTAAACACACTCGCGGCGCAGACGATGAACATCTCAAATATCGAAAATCCAATCGGATGCGGGATCGTTTGCAAATGAGGGTTGCTCGAGACACACTCCGGGACAAGTAAACGAGAACAAAACGAGTTCACAAAAACCGGAATTCAACTGGCATTCAACAGACTCGAGTCTGGTGCTCCCAAGTGTACGGTTGACTGGTACAGCTGAGGAATGTGTACGAAGGTGAAGTCTGAAGGATGGTCAGTTCTAATCAATCAATCAATAACAATTATCTCACAGCACTATCCCCTATTAGCTGAAGATCTCCGCGAATAACTTATA